GACGCCTTTGCCGTGCTGATGCTGAAAGTACCAGGCTTTCCATCCCAAGGGAAAAGAGCATACCAGTGGATAGTGATCAGGGTAGGTCCTACCCTGAATGAGCGGAAAGTGTGAGAGTCTGAAGGCCTGTTTGGCAGCATGATCAGCTTGTGGGCGGCGCATCAGGATGTAGTCAATGTGGGAGGTTGCAGTCGGGCCCACAAAGGAAGGCGTTCTGTCATTGGACCTCAATGAACACAATGACCATCTCTGTACCAAATCTGTAAACTCAGGCGTGGGAGTACACGAGGAGGAGGTGTGTAGGGTGGAGTTGAAATCTCCAGCAACTATCAACACATTCCTGAAAGGTGCCCTGCAAATCAGCTGATCCAGTTCTTGCCAGAACAGAGTTCGAAATTTGCTGGGGTTCTCTCGTTCCTTTGTAACATTGGTGGTGTACTGGTAACAGTTCACTACATCCACATTGCCGGAGCCCAAGTGACACCTGATGTGCTGCAGGCGTCCAGGTCGAGGTGAGGCATAGCTGACATCCTGGATCTGGCAGAAGTTCTTGTTGACCAAGGTGAGAAGACCACCTTTCTGTCCTGAGGAGTCCGCCAATGGAAATGCAGCAAAGCCATATGTCTCCCAGGGTTCCTCCAATGACCAAGAGGTGCCCTGTAATAGGGCCAAGTCAAATGGTTGAATGTAGATCCAGTTAAGCAGTTCAATGTACGTTGCACTATTCATGGATTGACAATTCCAACAAAACAGGGTTGCCCGTTTCCCCTGTTTCTTCCTCTTCGAGGTTGCATGCCCTGCAGCAGGTTTCTGTGTGGTGCATGAAGAGGTCAGCTGCCGATGATCTTGCAGTGAGGTATGCAACTTACCTCTATAGACCACAAAGCCGTTGAGCGCCAGTCGACGCATTGCTCTCTTGAAACTGCGCTTGACAGGTGGATGGTGTGCCCCGTGGGGCGCTTCAAGGGGCCCTAGTCCAGGTTCTTTGGGGTGTGACTTGGCGGGGACAAATTTACTTTCAACCCCTTCAGAGTGCACCCTGGAATGCACTCTACCCTCACCTTTAGCTCCCACAAACATCTCTGAAGACAGAGCGAGCGGCCAGGAGCTCCCGGAATTGGGACCGGGCAGTGCACTTCGTCTCGTAGGTCCTGTTGCTATGGTAGCCGTCAGGCCAGGGTGCTGGGAGAGGTAGTGGTCGTTCAGGAGCCACAGGAGCAACAGCAGGAGCAGCGGGAGCCGGGACTCCACAAGATCCGCAACCCGGGCCATACGCCATAGCAGGAGCACAAATCCGTCGAGTGCGAGCTCTGAGCACTGAAAGGCTTGTGCAATGCTGCTGCCCAGAAAAGCTGCTCCGGTGTAGTGTGCAGAAAATGGCACAGTAGCGGAAACCCCACCTTCAATAGTAGAGCCACGCTTCCCATGCCCAGTGCAAACCCCATAATAGGGTGGTAAGCCCACCAATTTGTCTTGTACCGCAACAATAGCACATCCTTGAGCTTGAGCGTATGATTTTCGACATGTATGGTCTTTCTGCGTCGGACTCGGGCCCAAGTTTCCGCAGCGCCCTTGCAGAAGGCCGTCAGCATACTACAGGAGGCTAAAAGGGTACAAGTTGATTTGGCAGTCTTCAAGATCACCTTCCAATCTCGCACTTGTAGATCTGTTTCGTCTTGCAGCAAGGTAGCACCTAGCAGAATTCTGCAGCTTTCGCGCAAGATCACGGGCCTGTAGGGATGCCAAATTGCATTGTAGATGTTTCTGAGCTGCTGAATTGCTGGGTTTCCGGAAAGCTTATATCGTTGATCTTTGCATCTCTGGCGCCTTGCTCCAATTGGCGGAGCACTTCGCGGCGGCGTTCTAGGGCAACTAGACAGATTTCCGCAGAGACAGTCTGGATTTGCATTGCAGTTGCAGGTCCAAACAGGTGTTCTTCGCGCGCCATGAAATCTGCCAGTACCATTGCCAGTCCCGCTGCTCCTGCTTGAAAAACCGCGAGTGCTAACTCCGCCATTACTTCCCGGATTTTCTCGGTCTCTTTCTCTTCATCTGCTCGAATGGACTCAACCTGCTTTCTGATGTCTTCTGCTGTCTTCTTTGAGTAGACTCCTGGCACGTCATCAATTGTCACCATGTTCACATCATGGTCAACAGGCACAGAATGCCCGTTATCAACATAGATGTGCATCTCTGGCCTCCTGTTTCTAGGTCCAAATTGTTGACATCCATCAGACCTGTGCATTTTCACCGGCAGATCAAGGAGCACCAGGATGACCATGAGGATGTTGACATTCGGTATTGACTGGTCATTGACAAACCGTGACACAGCAACTTCCAACTGTTGCGGCTTGATGACAACACCGGCTGGTAGACACTTGAAGACATCTCTGAAATACCAGAGGTGCTGAGCATGCACCCATTTGTCGTTTCCAGAATCAGTAATGAGCCAGTAGCCCTGTCTTCTCGGATGTTTCCTCCAAACTCGCACATACTCATTGCCGTAGACTGCCAAACATCCGCAGCGCAAGTCCAATGATGTGCCAAATGCCAGTTGAAACCTCTCACTGAGTCTGCTTTTCAGCATACCCCTCTTGAATGTCGTTGATTTGTGGTCAAGGTCAAATTCCACGGAGTGTTGCCAGGAAATTGCAAGAGAATCAACAACACAGGAAGAGGAATCTTGTACACGCAAATCATCCAAAATGGATGAAGTGTGTGTTGTCTGGCATGGACAATGTGCCACATCAATCTCAAAATCGTTGTCCATGTATCGCACAACTCGCTTCTCAAGCAATGGTTGTGTCTCAGCATGATAAGCTCCAATTTCGTCTCCAGATGAGGCTTGCTTCGGTGTGCCGGCCATGTCTAGGCTCTGTGTTGGCGAATTATGCATAACCCGGCCCACCTTTCGACTTCAATTGTCGCCTCTTGCGGGTTCTTTTTCGCTTTAGCTTCTCTTGACTCCCTCTGGCTTGTTCACAGGTTGCATCAACACTGCTATGGGTGCTCTTACCATCTTGGTCTTGCTCTTTCCCATCATACTGTTGGGTGCTCTTGGCATTATCACTTAGTGAAAAATGCCCTAGCTCTTCCCCACAAGGACTCAACGGGGTGTGGTGCTCATGCTGCTTCTTTAAAAGAGAACAGCCTAGCTCTTTCCGCACCCCTAAAGTTTCAAGTGCGACAAAATTTGTCGAAGATGATGCACCACCTGTGATAAAACTTCGTAATTCGTCAAGTTGCAACTGCATGCTGGCTTGTTTCAGTCGCTGTTGTTCAACTTCTAGCTTCAATGCTGCCACTTCTCTTTCATGTTCTTCTTTCTTGATATATTCGCCTGGGTTGTTCAATGTCTTTTGGGAGCCAGAGCTGAGAGGTGAAACTGCGAAATTGTCAGTTGAAACAGATTGGACAACTGTTTCGACCTCGCCTCTTATTCTCCAAACATCATTCGGAAAAATCATGACAAGTTGTTGGGCCACCCTTTCAACTTCTTCTCTTGAGTGGTCACCAAATGTCATGTGTAGGTGAGTCTCAGAGTCCCATGACTCCTGATCAACTTGATACGTCACATCTCTCACCGACTCTGGCCTTCCAACTGTCTGTGTGCCAAATGTTCTCTGAGCTTGTGGTTCTGGCTCAGACTTGACTTGTTTGTGTAAGCCACAAATGGCCCTGTGCAGTTGTTTGTGTTTCCCAGAACTGGTGGAATATGTTGGGCCAGGTTGTTTCGCCTCACCAATTCTCACGCCATTCTTAGGATTTCTCCTAGACGTGTCGTGCCAAGGATAGCCTGTTGAAGAAGAACAACCAAAGGTCATTCTCGATATCTCCAAACAGCTCATTGGACGAAATTGGCTATTGCTCTTGACTTCTATCTCTTTGTATTCCAGGCCCACTTTCCGACAAGCCTTGAAGATCTGGTGAAACACAGGCTCTGTTGTTTCATTTATTTTGATGATGCAAGAGTACACTAAATCTCCCTGTTGTAATTGACTTCGGAACTCTGTTTCTGCTTTTGACATTTGCTGATTCACTCGCCTGGTGCATGGAAAAGTGTTGTCTTGTGATGAGCAAAACTTCGAGAATTGCGAGCCACACACAAAGTGTGGGACCATATGGCAACGCTCAAGCCCCTCATGCAGCTCATAACAGCGCGCCGGCGCCTGAGTCTGCACTTCATCAGGTGCTCTCCCAAACACTTCCTCAAACCTCCTTACACATTGAGGGAAGCTTTCAATCTTCTTCCTTCGTGATGTCTGACCATCCCAAACTGTCAGACACTCAGAGATGAGGTCCATTGCAACGGCAAACCTCCGACTGTCGCTGTCCTTTAGCTTAGAGCCAGTCGTCAACTCCGCGCCAGATCCAGAATCATGAGCTCGATGTTCCATTTTGTCTATAGCTCATGTTCAAAATGGAAATTTGGAATGGGCACCCCACAGGGTGACACCGCCCCGAAGGGCAACATTCCTCTCCAGGCCCCGTGGGCTTCCAATCCCACCATGCATCCCTCACGGGATTAACACTACCAGCGGGCAAAGGACCAGAGGACCAGGGGACCAAGGGACCAGAGGACGAAAGGACCAGCGGGCAAAGGACCAGAGGACCAAGGGACCAGAGGACC